TCATTCACTTTGATAAGATTTTTTTGTTTTGTTCTGGGTCTTTGATGCCTCATACCTGATCCCATCGACACCTCATGATCACACAGGCTGGTGTCCTTCTTCCATGTGGACTTTGTTGCTTCTCAGCTGGATGGCCGCTTGTTTATCTGCAAGCCTTTAAGACCCCAGACGCAATATCTTTTGATAGCCAGGCACCATCTCGCTGACTCTACTTCAGCAAACATGGTGTCCTTCTCCCGGGACAGGGCCTATCGGATCACATATCTGAAGTATGGGAGACAGCGTCTGGTCATCCTCACTTTTATTTTAAAAAATATTTTTATTGTGAATTAAGTCGATGGTTTCCATTTCAGACCATCATCTTCACATTCAATAGTTCCAATCACTCATCAGTCACTGCCTCCCCCAGCCCTGATGTCTCTCTCTCCTCTTGCGACCTTCCATCCTCCCTTTCACCCAAGTCAACACCTGTCAGCCCTCTAAGCCATTGCCAGCCTTGCTTTTAAAGACCATTCTGCTTGTATTTCTTGGAAGACGGACTGGTTCATTCTTCTGCAGCCCATGGTACTTTCAGTACGCTCAGCAAACCCCAGATTTCAAAGTCTTCTTCTGTCTTCCTTATTCATTGTCCAACATTTGCATGCAGATGAGGCAACTGAGCATACCATGGCTTGGGGTATAGATGCACCTCAGTCCTCAAGGAGACAGCCTTGCACTTCAACTGTTTGAAGGGACTTTTGAGGGAGGATTTCCCAGTGCATTACACCACTGGATTTATGGACTGCTGCTTCCATGGGCACTGATCGTGCATCCAAGTCAAAGGAACGACTTGACCCCTTCAGTCTTTTCTCCGTTAGTCGTGGTGGTCTAGCCGTGGGATTGGATTTCCATGCTGAAGGCTGGAGCCTTTGGTCTTCACTCAGATGTGCTTCGAGTCGCCTTTGCTGTAAGCAAGCAGGACTGTGTCATTTGCATACCGAAGGTTGTCACTGAGTCTTCCTCCAGTCCTGACACATGTTCTTCTCCATATAGTGCAGCTTCTCAAGTTTGCTTGCTCACTGACAAATTGAGTAAGCCTGGCGAAAGGATGCAACCCTGACCGCGGCTTTTCCTGATTTTAAGCCTTATATTGTCCCCTTGTTCTGTTTAAGTGCGTGTCTCCTGGTCAGTGCACAGGCTCTGCAGGAGTGCAGTGTAGTGTTTGGGAATTCCCATGCTTCACAGGGTTACTAATAGTTCGATACGATCCCGAGTCCCACGCCTTTGCGCTGTCGGTAACACACAGGCCGTCGTGTTGGTGGTCTTCTCTGCTTTCAGCCAACATCTATTCGATGTCAGCAGTGATCACCCTCAACCCACATCCCTGCATGCATCCGGCTTGACTTGCTGACAGTTCCCCGTCTGCAACCATTTGGAGGTTCACATCGAGTACTTTGTTTTCCAGATCTTTTCCAATGATGGACAGTTCAAAAGTCGTTTTGGCATACGAGGACGCTCTCCCGGGCAACTGCAGCGGCCCACAGGTGTGGCCGTGCATCCCAGCGGGGACATAATAATTGCAGATTACGATAATAAATGGGTTAGCATTTTCTCTTCTGATGGGAAGTTTAAGGTAAGATTAACTACCTATTAGTTTACCTATTGAGTAGTAGGTAAAACGAATAAGAAACACAAGATGAATTTATCTCTTTTTTTATATTCAAAATTGATGTTTTTAATGACATTTTTAAAAAAAGTTAAAATATGTATTGTCTATAAATTTCATACTCATTACCTCAGGTGTGCATACTTGTAACATTCTTTTTTAAATCATTTTATTGGGGGATCGTACAGCTCTTATCACAATCCATACATCCATCCATTGTGTCAAGCACATTTGTACATTTGTTCCCCTCATCATCCTAAAAACATTTGCTTTCTACTTGAGCCCTTGGTATCAGCTTCTCATGTTTTCCCCTCCCTCCTCACCTCCCTTCCCTCACAAGCCCTTGATAATTTATAAATTATTATTATTTTATCATGTCTTACACTGTCTGACATCTCCCTTCACCCACTTTTCTGTTGTCCATCCCCCAGGGAGGAGGTTATATGTAGATCCTTGTGATTGGTTCCCCCTTTCTACTCCACCTTCCCTCCACCCTCCTGGTATTGCCACTCCCACCACTGGTCCTGAAGGGATCATCTGTCCTGGATTCTGTGTTTCCAGTTCCTATCTGTACCAGTGTACATCCTCTGGTCTAGCCAGATTTGTAAGGTAGAATTGGGATCATGATAGTGGGGGAAGGAAGCATTAAAGAACTAGATCAACATTGTATATTTAAGATGAATTTATCTTTTCCTTTTTTGAGAGCCAATATAATATTCAACAGTTAGTCATACACAAACATCTTGACTTCTGTTTTATAGAGTGAGAATGATGGTGAGTATTGTCATTAATCTAATTGTATATATTCTAAATGTTGCTTTATTTTATAAAGTCCGTAATTAGGTTCCTCAATGGCTTTTTTTTTTTTTCTTGAGATGTATAAGGAAACTATTTCTGGTATTTCATTGCAATAATTTAGAAATCGCAACCTTTAGGTAACCATTAAGAATACCTCATATTTGTCTACAAGTAGCTGTTTATTAACTGCCAAGCTGACAGATAGAATGGCAAGACCTGGTTCTCTGCCTCTTAAACATTTACAAGCCAATTGTGTTTATGTCTCTAATTCCCTCCTCCTCTTTTGTGTTTCCATAATGGGATTTGTGGTGAGACAGACCCAAATATGACTTTAACCTAAAGAGAAGGAAAACTAGTCAGGGACCCCGTGGGCATGCTCACCTCACTGGGAGACAGCCTGTTTGTTCTGTTGTACACTCCAGCAAAATGCTGGCCTGGGTCATCTTAAACTCCAGGGCCCAGATGAAAATGATGAGCCCTAGTGACACAATGGGTAAAGCTCTCAGCTGCTAGCCAAAGAGTGCATGGTTGGAACCCACCAATACCTTCCAGGGAGAAGAGACAGGGCTCTCTGCTCCTGTAAAGACTGTAGCCCAGGGCAGTGCGCCTCTGTATGATAAGATCAGCAGGAGCCAGCCCAGCCCAGTAGAACACAGTATTAAAATAGGTTTCACATACTGAGATACGAGTGTGAAATCTGAAAGAGAAGGCTTTCCTGAGTTGACTGTTTCTTATTCAACAGTTAATATTCCAAACGTAATAGATCCTCCTTGGAAGAACTGGCTTCTATGGAGAGGGAATATTAAGACTAATTGGAATAAACACTACAGGACACTCACACCCCCTAGAGGATAAAGGTGGGTAGGACAAGGAGCATTTCCTTGGTACTCTCTGGCCACACTCAAAATCAAACTCACTGCTATCAGTTGATCATTCTCATTCATCGCCACCCTATTCCAAGGCTGCAGCTCTTTGTGGGAGTAGAAAACCTAGTCTTTCTCCCTCAGAGCAGCTGGTGGATTCAAACTGCTGACCTTGCGGTTAGCAACCCAACTCATAACCCACTACACCACCAAAGACCAAAACCAAACCGACTGCCATCAAGTCTATGCTGATGCATAGCAAGCCGGTAGCATAGGGTAGAACTGCCCTGTGAGTTCCCCAGCTCTAACTCTTTAAGAGATTAGAAAGCCCCATATTAACACAGAATCCCTGGTGGTTTCAAACTGCTGCCCTTCCAGTTAGCAGCCCAGTGCCTAACCACTGTCACCAGGACACCACGTTTTGAACATAGGTAGGGATAAAAACCCAGTGGGTACAAGGATAGCAAGTGGAAGCAGTTAATGCTCTAATTCACCTTCTTCTTCTTTGAAGCTTACAACTACGTACTGAGCGACAGTTTGTTTTTCTTGAACATCTTCAGTCCCTTGCCATCAAATCAGGCCAGGCTCGTAGCAACCCTCTGTGGGGTTCCTGAGGCTATAAATCCTTATGGGAGCAGCTTCCTACTTCTCCACCATAGCAGCTGGTAGGTTTGAACTGCTGGCCTCTCAGTTAACTTCCCAGCACATACCCACTGCACCACCAGGGCTCCTTGGTACGGCAATCGCCCAGACTGTGTGTTCAACACAGTCGTAGGGGTAAGCAACCGAACTACCGCCATCAATCCTGACTCATAGCGACACACTAGGGAGGTCAGAACTGCCCTTGTTCGTTTCTAGGGCTCTAAGTCTTTACAGGAGTAGAGAGCTCTTTCTCCCTCGGAGCAGCTGGTGGGTGTGAACTGCTGGCCTTATAGTCAGCAGCCCGACTCAGAGCCCACCACGTCTTCCGTGGGACTCGGCAAGCTTGTACGGGTCTTTCCGAGAGACGAAGCAGCAGCACAAATGTGGATGCTTCATAGTTAAAGATTATCTGAGCAAGACTCGCTTTTCCACTGATAAACTCAAATAGAATCAATTTGTGGAACTGTGTGGTGAGCAAAATAGCGGAGCCTATATCTGATAGGGTAGTGGTTACGAGGTCAGCATTCACAAGCCACCAGCCACTGCGAGGGAGAAAGGCAGGTTTCTATTTCTGTAAAGAGTTGTAGTCTCAGAAACTCACAGGGGCAGTTCTACCCAGTCCTGTTGGGGCACTTTGAGTCAGCACTGATTCGACAGCAGCTGGTTTGATTTCAGTTTGGCCCGACATGTAAGTTAACTGAGCCAGCACAGTGAATGATCCACCTGCCAGTTTCATATTCTGTAAAAAGTAACTTCAGAGAAGTGTTTGAAGCAAGAAACTTTTATTCCAGTCCTTTCTTTTGGAATTCTCATTTCTTTGGACAGTTTCTTTAGTGTGAGGACTGACGGTTGTGAGAGTATTCCGGAAGAACACTGGAGAATAGTCTAATAACTATATCTAAAGCCACCCAAAATGCTGTCTCCACCCTTGAACTGAGATTCCTATATAATCTGATTTTATCCTTTTTTTTCTCCCCTGATTTAAAAAATCAGAATAATATTTCATATGTATGAGATATACAAAGGGACTTCAAAACACTCAATGGAAAAACGAAAAGATAATATAATTTTTCGTGCACTTTTTGAAGCCCCTCTTTCCCCCCCCCCCCCCCGTTTGTTTTTAGAAAAAAAGAAAGTCCCTGTAGTGGTTACAAAAGATTAAGCACTCAGTGCAGTGTGCTGTAAACTGAAGTCAGGCCTTCGGACCATGAGAGAAAAGGCCTGGCGATCTGCTTCCACAGAAACATTTCAGCCTAGGAAACCCTGGGGCCACTGTGCTCTGCCCTGTGGGGTGTCTGGGTCAGAGTCAGAGAGTGCTCACAGGAGGGGGGCCAGCCAGCGAACAAGGATTAGGAGCAAGGGCCCTAGAAGGGCAGTCAACAGCGACTTGTCAAAGCAGATGATCTCAGAGCCAAGGCTTCCTGGAAGGAGACTTTGCTACCCGAAGATCCAGGAGTGGGGAGAAGGGCATCTAGCGAGGCTCATCCCTGCAAAGGCCAGACGTGGCAGTTTGTCTGTAGGAGGAGCAGAAAGTGCTGCTGGGAAATGAAGCTGGAGAGGGAGGGAGCATGAATGGAGCAGTCTCCCACCCTACTGCAAGTCTTCCTCAGGAGCGTGACTAATTCAGAGTAAAATGGGAGGTCAGAGGTTTTAAGCAGAGTAGAGAGAGCATAGGGTCAGAATGTAACACTTTTGAAAGATGACTCTGTTGAGAACAGAAGGGGCCCTGGTAGTGCAGTGGGTTAAGCATTGGGCTTAAGGCTGACTGAAAGATCAGTCACTTGAACACCCCCCAGCCTTTCCACTGGAGAAGGATGTGACAGTCTGCTTCCACAAAGATTTATAGCCTCAAAAACCCTCACAGTAGTTCTGCTCTGTCCGATAGGGTCACAGTGACTCCTGGAGCCACTTGGTAGCAGCAGCTTTAGGTTTGCTTTTGGTTGCGAAGAGGTAGGGTTTGTCCTTAGCTCTTAGCTGAATGACAGTCTGAAGTCCAGAAATCTGAAATCTAGAGAAGTGCATTTTCATATGCATAGATCCTCAAGCAGGCTCACATGCCCAACTGGTACTAAACAAGCACCCTTCCTGGGGCCTGGCCTGACAGAGGAGCCACCCTGGCCTGGCTCTGTGCCACGCAGGCTCTGGGGACTCCAAGTGGGCAGCTTCAGCTGGGCTTTCTTTTTGTCTGTTGCACCAAATTCCAGTTAAAAATCCTCTTTGAACATCTCCTATGGCTCCGATCCAGAGTGATTTCCTCATCTTAGTGAGAGGAAGTCAGCCCCTTGCACAACCCGGCATGCTTGTTCCCTAAGCCGTGAGCTGACAGCTGAACCCTGCGGTGTTTACATGCACAGAGTCCAGGGGTCACTCCCCAGCGGTGGTTGTCAGGCTGAATTGTGGAATGAAGCCGTGAGGGGATGGGAATGGGAATTCCACCCAGAGCTTCCAAAGATGTTAGAGGTTTCTGTATCTTCGATGTAGAGGATGGGATCCTCCTCCTCCCCCACCCCTGACTCCGACTCCTTCTCTTTCTCCTCATCCTTTTCTTTCACCTCCTCTGACTCCCTTCTCTCCCACTTCCTACAGCAAAAGTCGGGGATGTAGCTAACGTCTTAGGCCTCCCTTTCTGTCACCAACTTCTTAGTTGACACTTCATTCCCCTTT